CATAAGGGTGTAAGTCATAAATGAATAAACCACAACGAAGTTTATGAATTTTTTCCAATTAAATATTGTATCTTGTCTTGTACTTGAGAAATCTTACTACCTTGTGTATATTTTAAGGGTTGTATGGGTGGCTTTGGAATTTTAAATGTGCATATGTAAGAAGGTCGGGTAGCCTCACACCATTTTTTGCAAATTTTTTCAGTACATTTGATGCACCCAAGTGGGTACATCCTCTATTTTTTTTCATGCCATTTATAAATTGAATGTAAAAAATAATTTGACTTGTTATTTTTTTTGGTAGGAGGAGACAATATTGCAATAGATTAAATTGTTGATATAAATATATTAAATTGTTTATGCAGAATTTGTAGTCTTTTATTTTTTTGAATATGCAGAATTTTAAACTATTTTAGTTTATTGGTTAAGCAGACTTTTTGAATAATTTTATTCTATATTATACTGTTAGATATACCTTCAATTTATGAATTTTTATGAAATTATGGGCCTGTTTGGAGCACCTGATAAAGAAGATAGGATATGATAACTTATCATATCCTACTTTTATCTCTTGTTTGGTAGGTCAATAGGATATGATTAACTTATCCTATTGTCTCATTTTATCCTATCCAATATATGATTTCTTATTCTATGTGGAGAGTTGGGTTAGGATTCAATAAGATAGGATACCAATATTGGATACCCAATATATCTCCACGCTACCCAATATATCCCCACAGTATCCAATATATTTGTATTTATTGTATTATATTTTGTTTTTCTTTCTCTTTTCTCTTTATACATAATCTTATCAGATTGCCAATCAGGTATTCATCAAACAAACACAGGACATGATATAGGCTTGTCAGCCTCATATCATATCCTACCCTTATCAGCCCCATATCATATCCTACTCTTATCCTATCTTGTCCACCAAATGAGCCCTATTAGTGTTGTTGATCGTATATTTTGTTTGGATAAAATTTTGTTGTTTATTTTTTTTTAACAGGCTAACTGGCTAAATCAAACTTTTATTTTTTTGTAAATAAGACAGATCACATACCGATAATTATATTCATGACAGGTTACAAGATAGGTCAGTATATGACATATTTAAACTCAGACTTAATCTTTAAAGACCAAAGCCCAATCCGGCCCGACTCATCCCATTAATCACCCTACTCTCGTGTTATTAATATTATGACGGTGACTAGATTGCATAATTAGTTTTATATATTGTAGCTGAGACTGTATAATATTGTTAACGCGGGGTGTTGCACTAGTTAAAATAAAAAATATAATTAATTTTTAATTAACTCCTTATTATTTTTAGTTACAAAAATTAAAAAGGAAGACCTTTACGAGGGAAGTTTTGAAATATAGTAAAACGATATTCAAATTAATAATCTTATTATCGGTATAAATACGAATATCCAAAAATTAAAATCACTTTAAAAAATAACAACTTTAATGATTCACCAAAAAAATAAATACCTTAAGAGTTTTTATAATCAAATAAAAATAATTTCACACTACTGCCCGGCCCATAGTTATTTGCTGTTAGTTCCTATTTTAAAAAATATATAATTTTTTAAAAGGTAAATTGAAAATAGTAATAGAACAATCTTGAAATTAGCAAATTTCATTCATTGGAGAAGATTTTTTGTGAGACGGGACTATGGTGGTCCCTCCCAAAAATAGAAAAAAGAGGGACGGAGGGAGAAAAAATTAAAAAGAAAAGGGAAGAAATGGAATTTTTTTTTCAATTTATAAAAAAAGGACCACTAAATAAATGTTGGGCCTGGAACATATTAAACTTTTTCTATTAATTGAGGTATTAAATACATAATGTCAGACAATATTTATAGACAGAACTATTAAATCATTTGAATTGACATGTTTGCTAAATGATTTAAATTTAGATTTATTCAATTCAAATTTTAAAATAATTTATGATTTATTATTGGGAAAAGTATTGCTTGAGTATCGTTTTACGGAGATAAAGTTATTTTTAGTGAGCTCAAAATAACGTCATTTTAGATTATAAGATTAAAAAATTATAATGATAAAAACTAATATAACTCTGCCATATATTATAATTACAAAAATATTTTGATTTACACCGTAAAACGATATCATTTTGAATTCATTGGAGATAATTTATTTTTATTGATCCGGAAAAATCCTTTACTCTTTATTATTATTAGTGTATAATCTATATTACAAAAGTTTTAAATTCACAACTGAAATTAATACCGTTTAACTTTGTCCCACCATACATATTATTTCGTTTGTTTTTTTCTTTTCAAAAAGATTAATTTCTGTGAATTGTCGATAAAAAAATTACATTATCATTTATCAGTAATTTAATGAGTTTATTAATATATAGGTTTTTAAATTTATTAAATTATATCACAACCTCCAAAACCTGTTGGATAGTAATGCATTTGCACCTATTCACCTCCACCGTCAAACAGCGCTCCACCACGTTACGAATGGGAGTGTCGATTCTAAAATCCTATTCACCTTCAATCTTATTCTCCTTCCCCTTTCCTTCATCTTCTCACTCTCATCATCGTGTTGTCTTCAACCCTCCCAAAGCAACAAGTACTCTTTTTCTCCGAACCCCACCATATTTCTGTTCTTTTTTTATGCCCCTTCTTCCAGAATATTTTATTTCTTTGTAATGTAATGAATAATTTTAAAATAATAAACAAATAAAAAAGCTAATTTTTAGCTTCACATAGCACAGTGAGTAGTACTGAATTTTTCAATCTAGTTCGGCGGAATAGAGAGAAAGAATGTGGGAGAATGTGAGGAGAAAGAAAAGGAAAAAAAAATTATTTTATTCTGCAAATATCTACCGTTAGATGAGGCAAAGGTAGAAAAAAATAAGAGTAGTCAGAATAAACTTTTAATTTTTTTTTGGTAAAAAGAATATTCTTGTTGTAAATGGCAATACCTAAAAATTTAAATCATATTAAAAAATAACGGCTTTAATATGTTTAAAAAAATACTATAAGATTTTTATTATAATCAAATAAAAATAAATTCATATTAATGCACCACAATTATTTACAATAATTTCCTATTTCTAAATATGTAAAAAATTTAAAAGGAAAATTTAAATTAGTAATAGAACAATCTTGAAATTAGCTATTAATTTCATTAATTAAGGTATTAATTACATCATGTGAAAGAATGTTTATAGACGTATCTAATAAATCATTTGAATTGAAATGTTTGCTAAGTGATTTAAATTTAGATTTGTTATTAATGTATAATCTATAAGTTTAAAATAATTTAAGAAAATAATTTAATAATTCTGAATACTAACAATTAAAATAAAAAAATGTAATTAATTTTAATAAACTCCTTTTCCAAGTATGTAAAGTTAACAAATATGGTCAACATATATAAAATATTAATAAGAGTAATTATATATATTCATAACAAATCTTCCAAAATATAATTATAATTAGAAAATATTAAATATTTATTATTTTTGGTTTTTAAAATGTTAAATTTTTATAAATTTTCATTTTATTAATACTTTCTACTTTAAATTAATAAGATGTGAAGAATGATTATGAAGAAGATACAAATACCCCCGTTTATGTGGGCAAACACCTGTTTATGTTTTTCCACATATAAAACACATAAGCCATGGATTGATCATTGTTATGGATCCGTATAATGGGCCCATTAAGTAGCAAGCCCAACAAGGAGCAATCCAAGATATGGATTGATGCTAATAAATGATAGATATCCATCAAGAATACTAATCCTAATGCGACAGCATAGCTATCAGGCCTGCACCCTCACCGTAGGAACCAAAGGCCCATCCACACTACTTACAGGTAACCTCTATAAATACAAAGGTAAACCCTAAAGGTACGTACACTCTCTCTCTTACTGTTATGCTGTCACTGTGCGCACACACCCCATTGGCTAATGCCGTTATAGTATTCTGTGCACAGTGATCTGCTTGACTCAAGGGTATCTCATACATAGATACCTTGAAGAGGGCACCAGATCCAAGATTAACATACTAGCCTATTGGGCTAGACATCTCTATCTCAAGGACAGAACATTGGCGTCGTCTGTGGGGACTTTCTTCTTTGAATTTGAAGTTCCCACCAAATCTGAGAAGGAATGGCAATTCAGATGAGGAGCAGTAGCCAGCAGCCACCCCCAAACCGGAATCAATCATTGGATCCAGTCATGGAAGAGGTAAACTAGCCTACGAACCAGATTGGAAATAACGTGGATTACGACCACGTCCAGGTCGAAGACGATGTCTCAGATACCGCTTCCACTCCAGCGCGTCGAGATAGGGAGGCTGGGGCGAACGTAGCTCCAACAAGAACCAACCCTTCCCAGCATCCTGGAGATCTGGCTGCGCGTATCGCTCAATCGGCTGATCCAGATACTCGGTTGGCCAACAACGCGTTCGCTGCAATCATGGAACGAATAACGGAGATGGAGAACCGTAATAACTTGCAACGACAGCAGGATTTCAGGGCTATACGGGAGGAGAATAACAGAGGAATGCGAGATCTGAGCAGCGTTTAACGCACTTTACTGAACCAAGAGCAACTGAAGCTGACGGCCAACTTGTTAACGGCCGTGACGGAGCTCGGAACATGGTTCTCGCAAACCGAGTTCCCAATACAGAAGATCATAACAGGCCCAATCTTGTGAACGCTGCAAACACTAATCGTCAGGCTGTTAATGGCCAAAATACTCAAAACCATCAGGCACAAGTCGATGGTCAGGAGGACCGAGTTAGAATCCTTCCTACACAAAACACTCAAGATATCCGAGGTCGGGTAGAACCCGGTGGGTATAGGAGGAAGTACAGCAGGGGGCAGTACAACAATAGCCCCTTTACTGGTGAAATACTAAACGTTGTCTTCCCGGAGGATTTTGACTCGGAACGTCTGCCAAAGGACGATGGGAGCCAGGATCTGTAGGTCCATATAGATGCTTTCGACACGGATATGTACATCCGAGGAATTGACGAACCTCTCATATCCCGAATATTTGCCATAACACTGACTGGAGCAGCGCAGACATGGTTTTCAACCCTTCCTGCTAATTCCATCGGGTCGTTTGAAGAATTCGGACAGAAGTTCCTCTTGAACTTTGCAACTAGCAAAAAGCATCCGAAGTCCGAGTTCGCTCTCGGAAAGATACGACAGCAACCCGGAGAAACCCTCCAGAAATATCTTAATCGGTTCAAGGATGCTGCATTACAGGTCCCAGGGCTGCAAGAGAATGTCCATGTTCACCTCATTGTGGCGGGTTTGGATGGTGCATCCAGACTAGCCAAGTCGGTCTATAAAGACCCAGTGAGGACGTTGGAGGAATTCAGAACTCGTTCGAAAAAATATCTCAAACTAGAGCAAATGGAAATTGCAAATGCGCAATCTGATGAGGGCAAAAGGGGCAGCCCGAGAAGGAGGAGCCCGGCCCCAAAGGGAAAGGAACAAATCGACAATAAGAAGAAAGATCAACGCCCACGAATCCCGGACATGAGGGACCGCGTTGGGAGGTATGACAAGTATACCCCTTTGAATGCATCGCGTTCTCAAACTTGGAGAGAAGTAGCCATGAAGGAGATGAAAAAGGTGGAGGGACCCCGACCCATATTTGACAGAGGAGGCTTAGATGAGTTCAAATACTGTGCCTTTCATGATGGGCCAGGTCACACAACTGATCAGTGCTGGGATCTCCGGGACGTGATGGAGAAGTTTGTAAGAGATGGTAGATTACGACAATACGTGATTAAAACCCAAGGGTCCAAAAGCAACAAAAGAAAGCCAGGAAATATAAGGAGAAGTAAAAGCCCAGTTCCTAGAAAGAAGAACAAAGATGAGCGAGATCGCAAAGATGATCCCAATTTTGATGAGTTCCCAGAAGCGGAATTCGATTATAATGTAATCAGTGGAGCCCTTGGAGGAGGTGGAGACACCATAAGCGCAAGAAGGAAATACTCGAAGGAGGTCTTTTCGATTCGAGACCGTCCTAGATTCAAAGAGGATTCGAGCAAGCCGGATCCCCCTCTACTATATTTTACAAAGAAGGACATGCATGGCGTGTTGCCTGGACATGTTGACGAACTCGTTATAGCCGGAACTTTGGTAAACTGTCGGGTTAAGAAGATTTTTGTTGATGCAGGGAGTTGTGCCGACATCATACTTTGGGATGCTTTTAAAAAGATGAACCTGGATGAAGAGGACCTCAAACCTTGCAAAACGACGCTGGTATCCTTTAATGGAGAGCATACACCTCCCAAAGGCTATATAGATCTCAAGTTGACCCTGGGAACCAAAGACGCGTTCAAGTCGGAACGGGTAAGGTTTATAGTGGCTGATTTTTCATCAGAGTATAATATAATTCTGGGCAGCCCAACTATAAACCAGTGGGACATGCTGGTTTCTACGAAACACCAAAAAATAAAGATGCTAAGCAGTAAAGGCGAAATAATTACTGTTTGCGGAGATCAAAAAGAGTCCAGGGGATGCTATTTTGACACTGTCAAAGATAGTGAGGATGGACATACAAGTCCACCCCGAATTCATGCAGGGGACAAATAGGGAAAGAATGCAATCCAGCACCGCTCCAGGAAACCCGTCAATGTGGTCGAACTTGACATGAGAGAAGAAGTAGTGCCGAGACCATAACCCGATGGGGAATTAACCTGGCACTCGGGAAAGATCCTGGTCAGTTTACCCGCATTGGTAAGACCATAGACCCCCAGATTAAGCAAATTTTGGCTGACTTTCTTAAAAGCAACACAGATGTATTTGCATGGAAGTCGTCAGAGATGCCTGGCATCGACCCCGCATTTTGTTGTCACAAGTTGGCAGCTTATCCGGGGTCCACGTCAGTTTCCCAGAAGAAAAGAAAACTGGGACCAGAAAGAAAACAAGTCCTACAAGAACACGTTAAAGAACTCTTGGATGCCGGGTTCATTCGGGAGATACAGTACACGACATGGCTTGCCAATGTGGTGATGATGAAAAAACCAAATGGAAAATGGAGAATCTGTACTGATTACACAGATTTAAACAAAGTTTGCCCAAAAAATGCTTATCCTATGCCTAACATAGATCAGCTGGTAGATAACTCAACTGGATTTCGTCTGTTGTCTTTCATGGATGTCTATTCGGGATACAACCAGATCCCAATGTACCCGGCGGATCAAGAAAAATGGCCTTTATTGCTGAAAAGGCCAACTATTGCTACAATGTGATGCCATTTGAACTTAAAAACTCAGGGGCAACTTACCAGAGGATGATAAATAAGGTCTTTGAAGATCAACTGGGCAAAAATGTAGAAGTATGCATAGATGATATGATTGTGAATTTATTTGATATGATGAATCATGTTCAGGATCTTGAGCAAACGTTTCAGAAGCTCAAGAAGTATCGCATTCGCCTCAACCCGGTAAAGTGCGCATTCGGGGTAGCAGCTGGAAAATTTCTGGGTTTCATGCTAACCCACAGAGGAATTGAGGCGAACCCGGATAAATGCAAGGCTGTGCTTGACATGAAAGCACCCCAAAGCAAAAAGGAGGTTCAGCAGCTGACCGGACGATTAGCTGCGCTAACCCGGTTTCTTCCAAAATCGGCTGAAAATACCCACCCATTCTTTAAACTTTTAAAGAAAGAAGCAATTGACGGATGGAACCCGACATGTGAAGCCGCGTTTGAGAAGATAAAGAAATGTTTATCAACTCCACCGATCCTCTCAAAGCCAAACCCAGGAGATGTTCTAATTCTGTATTTGGCAGTAGGGGAGGAAGCAATAAGCGCTGTACTGATCAAGGAAACTAACGAAGGCCAGGAGCCAATTTACTTTACCAGTAGAGCCTTACAAGGTGCAGAGGTCAGGTATCAAAAGCTAGAGAAGGTAGCTTTTGCTTTGCTGGTCACAGCTAGAAGGTTGCAGCCGTATTTCCAAGGCCATCAAATAATCGCCAGGACTAACCAGCCTATTCGGCAGGTGTTGCACAAGCCGGACTTGGCAGGAAGAATGACTAACTGGGCAATAGAACTCAGTGAATATGACATAACATATGAAAGCCGAAAAGCAATCAAAGCACAAGCCTTAGCTGACTTCATAATGGAATTGACGTCACTGAACTCGGAACATGAGGAACCCAGCGATACATGGAAGGTCTACGTAGACGGATCTTCCAACAATAAAGGAAGTGGGGCTGGAATCATATTAGAAAGCCCAAAAGGAGTAACCATTGAGCATTCTTTGAACTTGGGATTCCCAACCTCAAATAATCAAGCTGAATACGAAGCTCTAATAGCTGGGTTGATCCAGGCTAAAGAACACGGAGCTAGGAAAGTGCAAATCTTTAGCGACTCACAGCTGGTAACCTCACAGATAGAAGGAAAGTACCAAGCCAAAGGTCCTCTACTGATGAAGTACCTGAGTCGAGTTCAGGAAATCATGGCCGATTTTGATGAGGTTCGGGTTGCTCACATCCCACGAGGGGAGAATAGCCGAGTTGACATATTGTCGAAGTTAGCCAGTACCAAAAATTTGGGTAATCACAGAACCGTGGTTCAGCAAACTATAGCAACGTCGAGTTGCGTGATGGTGATAACCTCCGCAAACGACTAGAGGAAACCTCTGGTCAATTATCTGGAGAAAGGAATACTGCCAGAGGATCACCTGGAAGCTAGGAAGCTGGTCCGAGATGCGACACAATATGCGATCGTGAATGACCAGCTATTCAGAAAGGGTTTGCACAACCCCATGCAAAAATGCTTGAACTTGGAAGGAGCAGAGTACGTCCTTGTCGAGATCCATGAAGGAATAAACAGCCATCACATGGGTGGCAAAGCCTTGGCCAGAAAGGCCCTCAGAGCTGGTTATTACTAGCCAACAATGGGGGCAGATTCTAAAGAACATGTCAAAAAATGTGACAGCTGTCAGAAGCATGCAAGTTAATCCTTTCACCACCTGAAGAACTGAAATGCATCTCGGCCCCATGGCCCTTCTTCAAATGAGGAATGAATTTGCTAGGACCTTTTAAAGCTGCTGAAGGGCAACTTAACTGGTTGATCGTGGCTGTGGATTACTTCACAAAGTGGATAGAAGCAGAACCAGTCACCACAATCACCTCGGCTAGAGTGCAAAGGTTCTTTGAACGAAATATTGTTTCGAGATTCGGAATCCCAGCCGAGGTGGTTACTGATAACGGAACGCAGTTTGCTGAAAAGAAATTCCAGCAGCTAATGAAAGATATACACGTCACACATTGTTTCGCATCTGTGGAACACCCACAATCGAATGGGCAAGCTGAAGCTGCCAACAAGGTGATTGTGGAAGGTCTCAAAATATGAATGTTTGATGCAAAAGAAAGCTGGGTTCACCAGTTATGCTTTGTCTTGTGGGGTTACAGAACCAGCACCCAAACTGCAACCGGAGAAACCCCTTACAAACTAACGTATGGATGTGAAGTCATGATTCCGGTAGAGATTGGAGAACCCTCCTAGAGAAGACTGAATAGTCTTGAACAAGGTGAACAACAGAACAGTAAAATGCTTACTGAAGAACTAGACCTTGTGGATGAAGCTAGGGTCACAGCTCACTGCCGGAATATGATGGCCAAACAACAGACCGCAGCAAAGTATAATAAGAAAGTGAGACCAAGAAATTTTGAAAAGAATGACTTGGTACTCAGGAGAGCAGATATTGGCAACAAGAATGCCAGAGATGGAAAACTAGTTGCAAATTGGGAAGGACCTTACCGAGTTAGAGAAA